CTGAAAAATAAAAACATAATTCTGAGGTTTTTCTCTCTGTACTATCAGCATAAGGTCATAATTTGGTTACTTATTTATAGACCTATTTGCTTGTAATTGAGCTACATCCAGTTTCTTCTATGTACGTCACTCCTGACGAATGGAGTAGGGTACGCCACTAATCGCTGTCCCTTTCATCTGACAAGCCAGCTATTTATGGTATGTGGGTGTAACTCTGTGAGGGAAAGAGAAAGGTTTGAGTTGTGTGCCTTGTAGGTATATCTAGTAGAACGTTACTACAGGCCTATCAGTAGTCAAGACATTATTTAAGGGTTATGCAATTTCATTGTATTCCAACTTTAACCATGTGTAAGGTCACACAGCTGTGTTAAGTGGTAACTGATATATACGGTACATGCATATCAAAATTTATCGTATGCATTCATATCAAAGGGCGATGTATACTGTGTAACTCCCATTAGGCACTGAATTTTTGACCCATAAGAGTATGGGGTTTGAAAATCTGGTCTTCACTAAAAACAGCTGCAGCAAATGCCAACACTGATGCTGCAGCTGTTATAGTACTTCTACCTCTAGCTGCTCCAATGCTTGTCTGCATCAACCCTAGAAAAAAGTACCTACCAATTTCTGTGATGGTGCTTATTGGGAAAAATTAAGGCATCACTGTGTAACAAGGAGTTCTCTGTCTTAATTAACCACTTCAACTCCAGACACTTTCACCCCCTTCCAGTCCAGGCCAATTTTCAGCTTTCAGTGCTATCACACTTTGAATGACAATTGCGCGGTCATACAACACTGTACCCATATGAATTTTTTAGCAATTTTTTGAGACAGATAAAACGTTATTTTGGTGGTATTTATTCACCACTGGAATTTTTATTTTTTGCTATATAAATGAAAAAGTCCAAAAATTTAGAAAAAATTGTGTTTTTCTTATAAAATTTTGCAAATAAACTTTCTTCATAAATCTTGGCCAAAATGTATTCATCTATCTTTTTATAAAAAAAAAAAATGACACAAATTAGTTTATAACCAAAAATTATAATTTCAAAAAAATAGTTTTTACATTTTTTATTAAAAAATTTTTATATTATTATTTTTGGGGTTTTTTACACATACTGTCACCCTAGCAGTACAGTGTCATCATAGTGACACTGTACTACTTGTGGGGGGTGATAAACTTTTTTTTAATTTTTTTTACACTGATTTATTTTACACCCATAAAGGCTGTAAAAGCAATAATTTCTCCTTCTCTCTGCCTGCATTCCTGCAATCATTGAGAAATACTGTGAGAGCTATGATTGGTCACAGCTTGTCACATGGTACAAGGCTGTTGTGAATAGCCTTGTATCATGTGATCTCTGTGATCATTCACAGATTTCACTAGTAGTAAGCAATGATGTCAGGAAGTGACATCTTGCTTACTACTATTCATGTGATCACTGATTGGCCACAGAGGTCCTGTACAGCGATCTGTGTTACACTGTGTCCTCCAGAGCCATGTGCCGTGTGCTTCCAGGGAGCGTTTCTAAATGTCCCCCCCCCGCATCGGCAGCGCTCCCGTCCGGCCGTTTATCTACATGGGCCAGATGGAAAGTGGTTAAAATAAATATGTTTGTAAGCTGTGTGCTAGAAACACAAATGAGGACCTCTGTCAGGTCTAGCCTGCAGCTCCCAGTTTGTAAAATTGTAAAAAAAACCTCCTTGCTGCAGTGGTTCTTCTAGACCTGTGATTCCATTCACGTGTTGTTGGCTTCTGTGTTCACCTATGGGAGTCACCCAGGGGCGGACTGACCGTTTGGCCCGGGATCAGTAGGGGGCCCCATGAGATGCCCCTGGTACCTTTTTCATAGGATTTTTTGAGTTTGGGCAAGGACACAGGGGCCCCATGATCCCCTATTGCCCGGGGGCCCCATGAGTTGTCAGTCCGCCCCTGGAGTCACCTGCTCTATTGTGTATTTATATCCCTTTCCCTTCTGTCACTTCCTGGCCAGCTTCCTAGTCTGATTCCCTATATATAGACATGCTCAGTGCAGCCAATGTTACCTGAGCAACTTCCTAGTTTCTCTGTGCTCCTGGTTTGCCTTGTATTACTTGTATTCTGTGCCTACTCATGTACCAACGCCGGCTTCATCTACCGTTTATTTCTTGGCTGCCACCCACAGTGAATTTGGCTGGTTTCTGATCCTCTTCTGTCTCCCACCACCTGTACTCTGCACACGCGACTGGTCTCTACATTGTCAACTGGGCGTACCTGGGGGCTGCGACTTAGTTCAAGTCTGTTGCAAGTCCATTCCCACCATCAGGGGCACTGGTGAAGAAGCAACTGAGGCTTAGACTCTGCATTCTAGGGAACCCTGGGTTGGCTTTCTACAAGGGTTTACGATCATAGAAACCTGACAACCTCAATCAATTTTTAGGCCCTTGATTATTAGTAAAATTTACTCTTATGGATTGTATTGTGGTCCATGCATTTTTGGGGTCTAAGAACAAATGCAAAATGTATTTTCAGAAAAATGGGACACCGATTGGTATGACCCCTATATAAGAAAGTGTTTCAGAGTACATACGCATATGGAATGGCCTTGACAATGACATGATAGAAAAAAACAAGTTTCATGGATTTAGGAGACAAAATTAAAACTGAATTTGGCTTATTATTATATCTGTTCACATAGCTTCAGCTATATTTCTATGCCCCTTCCACACCAGTGCTCATGCTGAGTGTTATTCATGAAACACAACTGCAGTGTTTAACATAGGCTGCATTTCAAACTAATTTCATGCACTGTACAAAATGCTAAAACCATATTAGTGAATACTGTAAAATAGATTTAGGGGGCTGTTGACTAAAAAAGTGTTGTACCTAATCTAGTTAGTCCTGGCATGCCAAGACCTCAGTACAATGGTAGAATATAATGATATCTTTTCTAATCAGATTATAAAATACTTTTTTGTTTTCCAAATAAAGCCAAGGTAATACTGTATAGATAGAAAATAATATCTGAATGTTACAGGAGCATCTCCACAATCCAACATTTCCAATGATTGATGGCCAAACTGTGGGTCTGCCTTGGAAAATTAGCTAATAGATGACTTTACCTAATGAGTGGCCTCGCCTCTTTAAATTGCCAGTTGCCCACACTATTGCTGAGCATGCTACAGCTAATATTTATATCTGCGTGAGAGGAGAGACTTGCGAAATAACAGTTATTTTAGCATATGTGGAAAACATTAATCTACAGTGCTTGCAGAAATTATCAGTATTTTTCTGCTTATCACAATCTGGACACATTCAATGAATGCTTGCTTGCTGAATATGATAATACAAATTATGCTTCAGCTAATTTGTAGGAAAAGAGACGTGAAGAACAGATGTATCGTTTTTAAGAGATGTGGATTTTTTTATCTATAGTTCTTGATACAAATATTGTTTTTTGTTTTTACTGTAAACTACAGTCTAATGACGGAATACAGTGGATGCAAACTGGTGAGCAGTTGTAATAAAAAGGTTATACTTCCTCTGTATAGGAGGTGCTCTCCAGTGCCCTATCATAACTTAATAGTACCTTCCCAGTTCTATATAGTCCAACAGGAACCCTATTAAAAAACCATAAACTTTCTGGTATGGGGGGAACCTGCACACACAAAAATTTGTTACTGGCGTAGAATGTTAATGGAGCTAATGGAGCTCTGAGGGTAACTTGGAAAACATGGAGGCATTTTTAAGTTACCTTGTTAGTTAGTATGACAATTTCTTTTGGGACTACTGGGTGAGGCAAAATGCTATATTGATGGTGTACTTCTGTAAACAGGCTGTCCTTCAGGTAAAGGTTGTTTAGCAGAATACATATACCAGTCATAGTTTAGCCTTGTCAACTTGGGGGAAAAATTAGACAGCTTGGACCTTTACCTGTGGGTAGAGTCCTTGACCTACCCTTGGATTGGCACCCCTAGCTAATTAGTTGCTACCCATGGTTCTGCTCCACTGGACTTATAGGGTATACCATCATGTAGCCTTTGCTACCAAATGATGGGACTATGCCAATTCCTAAGCCTTCTCAGCCACCAAAATATGCTTTAGACTTCCAATTGATACTGTCTCCAAAGCTAGCAATGTATTCGACAGTACTTTACACAGTTCCTTTGTTTGGCCACACAGCATTTTTATTAGGGAGCTGAGCAACTCTGGTAACAAACAGCAGAATAATACTTTCTTTATCATCATTGATTCCACAGTTGCTTCACCTCTGAACATAGTTTGTGTATGTGCTGCAATCTACTACTAATCTTTGGTCTGGCAAATGTCTCTTCACCAAGCATCATGGCAATCCTGTAGCACTAGCTGTCCTGTGAATTTCAGTACAGTCCATGCTTGGACAAAAACTGTAATACTGCTTATAGGTTCATGCCCAGGAGACTAGTCTTGCACTTTGGACATGCCAGGCTCACTATCTCTCTCCCTAAATTACAACACATTGCCTTTTCACTGTGTTGTATTTTACCAATTTCTCAGTTGTCACTTTTAAAATTTCACTATCCTTTCCTCTTCAGAAAGAGACCCACTTCTTATGAATTCATGCCATATGCAATAACAGGGAAGGAAAAATAGAAACAGATTTGAGATGAGACTTAAGCAAATTGTGGCGGGTTCCTAATGAACAGGCTGCAATTTGAGCCATAGGTGGCCCAGTCAGCACCTTCCCGTCTCATATCCTTGGATTACTATATAAATATAAAGGGGAAAAAATACTGAAAAAGTTAATTAATGCAGCCACCACAACTATTGACTGGTAACCTGAAATATATGAAACTTGTATATTGGGGTTTAGATACACTTTGTTCGGTGTGCTTGTTTTTTGCCTTCAAGTTGCAAGAAGTATAATAACTCAAAGGCACAAAATGTATTTACTTTTTATTTACTTAGTTTTTTTGTGTTCTTTATGATAATGGGAGAACAAAAGCTCAGCTACTAAACAAATAACAAGTAACTTTGCCTTGTTTCAGCCACTGTCTTCCTTGAGTTCTGGAAAAGACGACGAGCTGTACTAACCTACGATTGGGATCTCATTGACTGGGAAGATGAAGAGGTACACATCTTTTTCAAACCTGTTTATACCAGCATTGGGTTTTTATTAAATCTTTGTAGGATTGGGGCCAATTACAACGAAGTTCCAAGAAGTCATGTTTGTGAAGAAATATATATAATATACCATAAAATTGTATTAAGTGGCAAAAACTGGCAAATACAAAAGTTCAATAGTGCACAAAATCCACTTCCAAGGATGCAACCCACAATCCTATGATGACTGAGTTAAGTCAATGTGTCTGCCCCCACCACAAACTGCACACCTCTTACCAGATCCTAAAACCTCTTCACTATTGGAGGTCTGAAGTGCTGTACCCCAAGAGGTAAAGATCTAATGGCCAAGTGCGATCATTCTCTTACACACTTCATCTCAATTCAAATTTTCTGGTCTATGAAGAAGAAAGAAAACTCTACATAGCATAACAGCGCAAGGCTCAACAATTTATTAAAAGCATATATGCTCACATAAGAAGTGGTAAAACTAGCGCAAAGAAAACAAAGATGGCATAATAATGTTAATCCCCGCCTGATGTGTTTCGCCAGAATTAGCAACAGGGGACAAGAAGGATGTGAAAGAGCATGATTATGATCATTTTTTGCATTTAACACAATTTTGTATGTTATGATATGTTATACTGTTTTATTAACATTATATATATATATATATATATATTCAAATGATGAATTTATATGGTCACTGAATAATTGATTTAATATATGTTTATATGAGTTAATACATTTTTAAATGCATAGCACATCACTTTTTGGTTTCATTTAATTTTTTAATACTAGTTTATGAGTGTTTGTGACTGCTGCTGCCAAGGTTATAAGCTGACTGCGGAGTTAACGTGTATAACATTCTGGTTTTTGCAAAGTCTAACAGGCATTACAGTTAGACCAGCGGAGCTCCGTAATCAGCACTCAGGAACTGGTCTAGTTAGACACCCCACTTCTCCTTTCCAATACAATCTGTCTGGTGACAATTGTGCGGAATGTGGCTGGTACTGGGGTAAACGTGCAGAAAATGAAATTTTTTCGAGAGGCAAAAGTTATTTAAAGCCATCTTTAAGCATACATCTGCCACAAATAATAAAATGTGGAGTTACTGGACCATAGAGAGAGATTGTAAGTGTGTGTGAGACTTCGCTAGTGCTTTAAATTTTACAGAATACAGTAGTTATCAACTAATGCATATATTAACCAATAGTTCTGTGTCTTTCCAGGAAGAGTTACGTCCACAATTTGAAGCAAAGTATTCCAAATTGGAACGAGTGAACCCAATCACTGGCAAACCAGAGCCTTTCCAGCCTTTCAGTGACAAACTCAGTAGACTAATGGTGTCTGTATCAGGAATATTCTTCATGGTAATGATTACATTATGAAGCATAGATTCCAGTCAACTGAATTTCCATCATGTTGGCTTTTCAGATTCCCATCCTGAAAATCCCACCTCATTGTATATGAACTTGTTTAGAAAAACAAAATGTGTTATTTACTATTCTCACCTAGAAGGTGTACAGTTGGCTATGGGGCAAGGATGGGCCAAAGGGACTTGTGTGATTTTTGAATAAACAGATCAGGGCCTGTAAGTTCAAGAAAAGCAAAAAAAAAAAAAACCTGGAAGCTGATTGGTTTCTATGCAAAGCTGCACCAGATTTTGCACTCTCCAGTTTTAGTAGATCTCACACAGAGTACCATACATTTCCTGATTCTTAGTCTTCTTGTCCAACTGTAATCAGCACCACAATGGATTGGTTAAATGTTTCAACAAAAAAATCTGTGGGATTTATTCACGTATCTGATTTTGTCAAGAGATAATAATCAATATTGTAGAATGATAATTTTATGTATCCTCATTTAGACTCATAGAATTTAGTTAACAAGGTCTTCAGTTTTGCTAAGTGATAGGACTTAGGTTTTAATTACTGAAAGCCCAACTTAAGCCATTTTTTTCACAGACTAGGGACTTATTGGAACTGGGTTTTAGTTTGTGTATTTATTACCATTAGGCCATTGGGGAGATTAGCCTGGTTACCTGGACAAATGCACTACAAAAACAAAAAGGAAAAATCAGCAAGCAATAATAAAATGCTATAAATGGTTCTAACTTTTCCCCAGTTATCTGTCTGGGTCCCCCTGAGGACTATCATGCACACTGAACATTTAGCTCCAGTACAGCAGTTAGCCTTACTGGAGCTGGACACAGCTGGAGGACACAGGTGCAATATCCAGCCCAGGGGCGGACTGACAACTCATGGGGCCCCCGGGCAATAGGGGCCCCTGTGTCCTTGCTCAAACTCAAAAAAGCCTATGATAATGGTATGAGGGGCATCTCATGGGGCCCCCTACTGACCCCGGGCCCTCGGGCCGTGCCCGAGTTTCCAAATGGTCAGTCCGCCCCTGATCCAGCCCCACTTCCCGCAGTCTGTCAAATTCTATGGGAATTTGACTGCTCCTACAGCTGGTTGGGGCTGGGGGGGTGCACTCAGCGGTACTTCCGTATAGGTCAGCACATGCCCAGGGATGAAAGCCCAGAATACAGTCTGCTTGCATTCCGGGCTTTTGTTCCTGAGCGCATACTGTCCTAAACGCAGATACTGCTAGGTGCATCGCCCAGTCCCTTCCAGTTGCAGCAGCTGACTGCCGACAGCAGGGTGGACGGTGCGCCTGTGCCCTCCAGCCACAGCTAAACGCCAAAACCTAAAGCATTGTTCAAACCGAGCATCAGAGTGTGGAAGAAATTGAATTTAGGTAACTTTGAAGGTGGCATGGTTGTTGGTGCCAGATGGGCTGGTCTGAATATTTCAAAAGCTGCTGATCTACTGGGATTTCCATGCATAACCATCTCTAGCGTTTATAGAGAATGGTCAGAAAGAGAGAAAATATCCAGTGAGCGGCAGTTGTGTGGACGAATATGCCTTGTTGATGTCAGAGGTCAGAGGAGAATGGGCAGACTGGTTGCTGCAACATTCGGATGGTAGGGTCAGAATTTGGCGTAAACATGAAAGCATGGATCCATCCTGCCTCGTATCAATGGTCCAGGCTGGTGGTGTAATGGTGTGAGGGATATTTTCTTGGCAGTAGCAAGATGTGTCTAATAAAGCGGCCGGTGAGTGTATTTTCCTAAGCCATTTCCTAAATCAGGGGGCATGCTTCTGGCCTTCGAAAAATGTTGGCTGCCATTTTTGTTCTTTTTACTCTAACTGGTTGAATTATTCATTTTAACAAAATGGAGTCTTTTTTTTGGTACAATCACTGGTTTGATTACATGAGAAATAAAAACATGACCAAGGTTCTAGCCTTTCCTCGCTCTATTAGGCCTCATGCACACAGGACGTTTTGCAACCTCTGCTAGAAGCGTTTCTCATGGCAGCAGCATTTTAGCAGAAATAAGCATTTTACAAGCATTTAAGAGCACTTACAGGCGCCAAGCCCTTGGACATGAATTGATTTCATTGACCAGAATTATAATTTATTCTGGCCATAGAAATGAATTATCGCTCAAGTGCTAAATGCGCCTAGCATTAACAAACATCGCGCTTTTTTTCTGCCTAAGCTCTGCTGCTCCTGGATGCACTGGCAGTGTTTTGTTTTTTTTTTCCTACCTCTTAATTCTCTTGCCACTAAACGCTGCTAAAATCCTATTTGTGCATAGACTCATAGGCCAACAAGCAGGGGAGCTTAGGGGCTGGAAAAAAAAAACGCCTGATGTCCCTAGAAGCAGCTGCAAAAATATCCAGTGTGCATGTGGCCTTACAAAATGGCAGTAATGTTGGGGCATATGAGGGTGGATTTTTTGGGGGAATGTATGTAAAAGCTGTCTTTGTTTTAATTTTTAAATAGTTAGAAGTGAAAGTCAGCTGAATGTTCAGTTCCAGGCGATTCCCTCTTACTGTGATGTGACTATAACTGGATTCACATATTTTATTAAATGTGTTCACATTTAGATATCCTTAGTGCTGACAGCAGTCTTCGCTGTGGTTGTGTACCGACTCGTTGCCATGGAGCAGTTTGCATCATTCAGCGTGAATTTTATCAAGAAGTACTGGCAGTTTGCAACATCTGGCACCGGAGTCTGCATAAACTTCATGATCATAATGTCCCTTAATGTTGTAAGTTTCTGTCCTTGTTTTATTACCAGACATTATTCTTTTCTTCCACGGAACTGACACTAATTTGCAGTTAGTTATAACACCCGTGTTATTTGCAATAGCGATTACTATTTTAAGTTCTTATTGGCTGTCTTTGCTAGAAATAATGGATATGTCAAATAATGAGTATTAAAACTTAGTTCAATTTAAACTCAGGCATGTAAAAAATTTATGTAGCTCTGCATTCATTAATTTATAATTTAATGGTGGTTGTACATCCTTACATATTCCCAGTGGCTTCAGATGAAACAAATCCTCCTTCATAAGTGGTCCCAGTTTACCTTCAGCCCTCTTTACAGATGTTCAAAGTACACAATTTATAAAGCTTGTTTGAGCTTTCAGAAATCTGGGGTGGAGAACTGAAGTTACACTCTGCAGTTATCAGTGAGCAGAGCTCTGAGAGCTGATTTGAGTAAAGGTACATGCCCCCCTTCACACAGCACACCTAAACAGAGCTGAGGCTGTCAATCACAGGTTGTGTGCTAGAGATCCCTCCCCGTCACCTTTTTTTTCTTGGTATCAGGAAAATTTGTCAGATGCAACTCATGCAGATAGCAGAAGAACACGGCACCAGACAGAAATGACACTTAGTGCTCTGCATTGAGACAAGAACACAATATAGAGGAATATGCTTTGTCCATATTTGTTAGAGGTTTACAAGCACTTTAAATGTAGTTAGTTTTAGCAACTCAATTAAACTTGGTATCAGCCTCTTGCAGCTCCTGTACAGCAGGGCTAAGATTGGGAGAGGGAGAAGCAGCACAATGAGCCAATCAGTTATGCTGCAGTTCAAGAAGCATGCTGCTATGAGGGGAGAACAGAGATCTACTCAGCAGTGCGATGCTTCTCCTTTCACATTTCAATCACAGGGGAAGGGGGGCAAGACCTCTTATTTTTATTTAAAGTGGAACTAATGGCAGAGATACTTACCTTTGCTCCATGTGTGCCGACATCTTCCCTTCAAGGTTCTTCCAGGTGCTGGTCTTCAGTTGTCTTGATTGGCCAGCATAGGATGACGTAACGTATGAGGGTCATTGATCCTGGCATACTTGTACTGTCCTGGAAATGTAAGCTGATCTATGCATGTGCAGCTCGGTGTACATTCTGAAGAAGGTTGTGAACAGGCAGGTACATTTGTTTTAGTGCAGAAGAGAAATTGCATGTACAGCAGAGCTAGGATTGGGGGAGGGAGAGGAAAGAACCTTCACTTTAACTGCAGAAGAGAAAAATCAGGTCAGACAGGGCTGAGCTGTGTGGCAGAGCTATGTTATTCTCAGGACTGCATGAATTGGTGACATAGTTCCCATAAAAGTAGTTTATCTGTGTATTTACTTGTTTGCTCTGAGTTTAAAGGATAAGTTCACCTTTGGGAACATGTTACATGTTCTACCCGTTTTTAGGGTGGAACATGTAACATGTTCCCATAGCTGCAGCCCCCTCCCTCTGACAGATAATACGGGGAGAAGTCTCCCCGTACTATCTGTCAAATTTGAAAACAGTGTGGCTATGTGGGGTTCCGCCCATACAGCCGCGTCATTCATTCATTCAGGGACTTCGGTGAATGAATGAACTTCGACATGACTAAAGGGAGGAACAGGTCAGAGAGAGGATAAAATCTGGGTTGTTTAGTGGTGAAGGCGTAGTTCTTACCTGATTGGAGGCCTAAGGTCGGATGGGCAGGGCGGAGCCACAATGGTGGTTTGTGCAAGGTATAGTAGGTATTCATTTCAGAAAGTTTTGGCGAAGAGGAAATTTCCCATCCCTCCTGCCCTAAATTCTGGGTGCCTGGTGTTCTTGGGGTTGTAGGATATGATTTTGTGGGTGCGCATTTCTAGGCGGATATTGTACCAAACCTACTGGAAATTAAAATAGGGAACGTTGTCACAGCAGTTTAGTGGGTCATGGGTCTTTTGGGGGTCAGTGTGTAACTATATGGTTACAAACAAATTGGGGGCCCATCTAGCGTATGGCGCTTCAACCTGATAGATCATTGATGGTTGTCCCAGGAGCTAGGTCCCCTGAGCAAAAATGTAAGAATGTGTGAGGTCGTAACGTCATCGAGTCGGTCGGGGGCGGCTGAGGACATGAGCGGTTACAGTGATAAAGTGTGCCTTAAAGCGGAGCTCCACCCAAAAGGGGAAGTTCTGCTTTAATGCTTTGTCCCCCATTCCCCATTAAGGAGTGGCACCTTTGGGGAGCAGGTACCAGATTTTGACAGGTACCTGCTTCCACTTCCGCTGTGATCACCAAGGCGATCGGAAGTGGAAGTTGTCCTCCCCGTCTTCTGGGACACGTGACAGGTCCCACAAGACTACGTGGCCATTCACAAAGCGCAGCGCTTCTCACGCATGCACAGCGGTCACCCAGCTGTGAAGCCGCAAGCTGTCACAGCCGGGTACCCACACTAAAGATCCCAGCGCCAGCAAGAGAAGACGGCCGGTGAAACCAGCTGTGGTGAGGACACCGCTGGATCGAGGGACAGGTAAGTGGTTGTGTTTTAAAAGTCAGCAGCTACAGTTTTTGTAGCTGCTGACTTTTATTTTTTCTTTTCAGCTGGAACTCCAATTTAAGGACACCCGAAGACCCCTTTCCTGGTGGCATTGTTGTGAAATTGTTAAAGTTGTTTTAATTGATGGTATTTATTCGTTTGTTAATAAAAGGTCTGCTGTGGCCCTTTAAACCCATGTCACACAGTTTGTGTCTTTATACTAAAAGTTAAGGAACAAGGTTGACAAATCTCTTAGTCAAGTCCCAGCAGCCTTAGCGGCTGTGGCCTTGTAGTTTTCAATGAAATACCAAGGTGCTGTGGTAGTTCATTGAAGCTTCCTGTCAGAATATCTGCTTGCTTGTACATTCCGTATGGCAAGCAGATAATCTGACAGATCTGCAGGAGACCTGCATGGCATCAGCAATCTACTGATCGCTGGTGCAATTCTTTACAGATTCCTGCAGACAAAAAATAATAAATGCACATTTTTTTTAACTGCAAAAAAAATTTGCATTTATTATTTTATGTCTAAAATGTGAACTTATCCTTTAAAGTTGAGCTCTAGGAACCAAACTGCAACAGTTAACTGCTCATTTAGCTCTACGGAGCATGGAAACGTTGACTTACTTACCAGAATCCTCTGCTCCTTCATGCTGCTAGATCAGTCTCAGTGGTGTCTTCTCCCCCATGCTCCAGTAGTGTAAGGTTCTGATATCCTCAAAACAGATGCAGGGTCTGTATCTCTGTATTGGTCTTGAGAACGCCAATGGACAGTCCACCAGCGGAGCATGGGAGAGCAGGTAAGTAAAAGTGATTTTGCCATTCTCTAGACAAAAAGGAGCAGTTTAAGTGGAAGTAAACTCTATTTTGCACCTTTTACCTACGGGTAAGCCTTCAAGGTGTTACTAAACCCAGGACCCTGCATTCATTATATCTTGTCCCCCACAGTACACAGAACATGGAAATGCAATTATTATAGAAAATATAAACTGCTAAATATCTTTTCTCATCAGCAGTATATGGCAATCTTGTGACTTCTATCAGTGTCTGGCCAAGCACTGGTTAAAGCTCGAAGGAGGAGTTTTCATTCTGCTTTGACTATCCTATGAGGCTGCATAACCCCTGACCCTCTGTTTGGATAGTGCTGATTGGACCTGTGCTGATCACATGCACCCTCCCAAAGAGCAAAAAAAGCTCTCTATCCATACACACTAAACTGAGCATATGCAGAGTGACTCCTAGAGCTCTGTACTATCAGCAGATGGATTGGGGACAGTAGAAGAAGGAGAGGATCAAATTAGACAGGATCAAACAGCCTTTTTACGCAGTGTGGAGGATTAACCTCTTAAGTTCCACAGTGAGTGTAAAAAGCATGCTTTGCTGCATATACAGACTGATTTTACTGTTTGTGGGTCTAGTAACACTTTAATAAGGCTTACCTGTAGGTACTGTAGGTATCTCCTAAGCATGCACCATTTAGGAGATATTTACTGTAGAGGCCCCGTTGACATCACTGGCGCATGCACACTGCACTCTCGATAGCGTACCATCCATTCAGAGAGCCGTGCCGCAGCCGAAACTCTGTTTGCTCATGCGCAGGAGTGACAACATCGCGGCTCGGCCAATCAGATGGTCGCAGCTCGTGAACCCGGAAGGAAGACCAAGAGAAGATGGAAGCCTCTGGGAGCCATGACAGTGCTCCATTGGAGGACTTTGTTTTTAGGTACGCCTTTCATAATGTGCTAGTATACAATGCATGCTAGCACATTATGCTCCTAACTTGCGGGGAGAAGATTTTTTGGATTTTTTTTTTCATGGTTTACTACCACTTTAACCCTTGCAGTGCAGGCCGAACCCCACTGCAAAATCTTCACTTCTCCTTCAACTTTAATTGAGTAAATTTTGTATTTTTCTGTTTTAACCAGGAAAGTTTAAACTGTATACTTTGAATTATGGCTGTGTTGTATGCATACACAACAGACAATTATACTCAGAGGAAGTTCTTGATGATATCATTCATAACAGATATAATTTTTGTTATGCTAGCTTTATACAGGAACAGCATTGAATCATTCTGAAATGAACAGACTCTCTGACAATTTCCCTTTCATTAGATATGCACAACCACAATTTAGCTCACATCAGCTGGGCTTTCCATTATTATAGTATGGCTTATATCAGTAGAGACTTGGTCAGTTTTTTCTATTTCTCGGACTACCTGCAGGGACAATGATAGTCTCTGTACCTCTGTTTCATAATTCATTATTGGCTGGGAATTTCTTCCATTCCATGGCTAGCTTTAGGGCTTCATTTATATGTCAGTGTATTGCGGTGCAAAATAAATGGCAACACACCATGGTATACCAGTTGTCAAAACGGCAACAGTTTATGATCGTAAACAATGACCATATTTCTTCTAAAATATTGATTTCACCCTTTTTTTAATTATTTTTTTGCATCTCAGCACTGCTGATCTTCTCCAGGTTCTAGTCCACTGCTTCTGGTCCATGTGGGTGTACACCAGTGGGGGATACATGTTATTGCTCAGGGCTTTTAGGGAAAATAGTTACCAAGAGAGTAAGGCTACATTCACACTAGCCTTGTTTTCAAGCGGCAGAAAGGCGCTTGGGAAGCGTTTTTACCGCTTCCGAAAAGCCTCGGACAATTCATGGTGCTGTTCTAACGGGAGCGGTAGCATCGCGGCGTGTCACGGTGTGGCAAAACGGACGCCTCTGGTTGAGTCAGGAGACGTTGAAGCCTTCTATTGTGTCTATGGTGCCGCTCCGCAAACGCCCGGCCAGCGTTTGCGGTGCGGTTGCGACGCGGTTGCGGGGAGTTTGCGGAGTGGTAACACCATCCAAACTTCAGTATAGGCGTTTGTGGGGCGTTTTTAACGCTCGGCAAACGCCTAGCAACTGCTGCTGAACCGCGCATGCGGCGTTTGCCGAGCATTAAGAAACGCTCCGCAAACGCCGGACCAACGCTTGCCAAACGCTATAGGGGCGTTTGGCAAGAGTTGGTAAAACAGTCAAGTGTGAACGAGCACTTAGTGTTATAGTCAAGAAAACCGAGTAGTTGCAATGAGGGTTAGCATCAAGGTGAGAGTCAGTACCGGATTACTAAATAGGCATTAGTAGGCACCTGCCTATGGGCCCCATACCGGTTGGGGGCCCCACGGCAAGGGGCATCAAAATAATATTGATTTGATCTTGAAAGAAAATTACAATGAAGCTTTATTAAATTGTTTACAAAAGATAGAAAAAAAAGAATCAACTCAAAGAAACAACATTAAAGACTCTTTAGAGAAATCCTGTATTAATGTAATGTTAAAGATAATGGGTGCAGCGCTACCAAACTTCAAGTAACAAAGGTTTGTAAACATGCAACCCCAGCAAGATAGGTGTGGAAGGGTGCAAACACATAAGAATAAATCAATTAAAAATGGCCATGCAAAATCCTCATATGGAAATCTTTGGGTGCTGGTGTTTAAAAGATGAGACACAAAACAGGAACGTCCTCCACTGTCAAAACAATCACACAGCCTTTTATCATAAGGATCTAATCACTCCAAGCATTGGTCAAATAGTGCAGTTTTAAACCCAAAGATGGTGATTATACTTCCAATTATGAGTCATCAATCAGTTCACTCAGTAAGCACCAGTCCTTCCAATTCTGGTATCAGATAGGCCATGTCACTCTCAGAACAACAGACATCAAAGAAGAGAACACGGCCATCTCACAGTGTAGTAAAACGACAAGCAATAATTTATTCAAAATATTGCACTTACATTCATCAGTATAAAAAACAGCATGTCAAAGTATTTTTTCAAACCAACAATATGGCCGCTGTCCATAACAATGCACGATGACATCACATGCTCTGACTCTACCCTACGCGTTTCATCATCGAAAGATGTAATCAGTGGCGTCACGCCTTTTTGATGACAGAACGTGCAGGTTGAAGTAATGGCATGTGACATCATCGCACACCGGCTTGGACCACGGCCATCTTGCTGCTTTCAAAGAATTCTTTGACATGCTGTCTTTTATATTGATGAATGTAAGTGCAATATTTTGAATAAATTATTGTTTGCGGTTTTACTGAACTCTGAAATGGCATTGTTCACTTCTTTGATGTCTGTTGCTCTGAGAGTGACCTGGTCTATCTTATACCGGAATTGGAAGGTGTGGTGCTTACTGAGTGAACCGATTGATGACTAATATTTGGAGGTCTGATCACCACATTTGGGTTTAAAACTGCACTATTTGACCAATCCTTGGGGTGGTCAAAGCTTTCTGGTAAAAGGCTGTGTGAGTGGTTTGACAGTGGAGGACTTTCCTATTTTGTGTCTCATCTTAAACATCAGCAGCCACAGATTTCTATATGAGGAGTTTGCATGGACTTTTTTAATTGATTTATTTTATTTGCTTGCACCTTTCCACTTCTATCTTGGTTTGATAGCACTGCACCAATTATCTTTTATATTATGTCGTGTGCTTTGCCTACAAAATGTGCTAGCTGCTCTTTTTTTTCTGTTTATGCTTTCTGCCCGAGCGCAGGTGTCTTTCTGCATTTTTCAGTAATATAATCTACCCAATAACAACTTAAAGTACATAAACCATAGACATCAGCTTCACAGTACAGTTTGTCTCTTAAAAGCTCATCTTCTTTCAGCTGTCAATTTGTAAAAACAATTTGGTGCAACCTACAGACATGAAATGTAGGGAAGCAATGGTTATCTCCATCTAGCGGCTGATACTACTTAGATCAATGTTATCCCACCAGAGAGTGCATACAAAAAAAGCTCCAGAAACCTGTGACGGGGGGACCCAAAGTTTCATCTAGCACTGGTGAGGGTTATAGGAATCCGTGTTAGGGTTACAAAGAGGGTTGGTGTTAGGGTTGCAGGTAGGGGTAGTGTAATAGGAGACTTACAAGTTAGGGTTACAAAGAGGGTTGGTGTTAGGGTTGCAGGTAGGGGTAGTGTAATAGGAGACTTACAAGTTAGGGTTACAAAGAGGGTTGGTGTTAGGTTTGCAGGTAGGGGTAGTGTAATAGGAGACTTACAAGTTAGGGTTACAAAGAGGGTTGGTGTTAGGGTTGCAGGTAGGGGTAGTGTAATAGGAGACTTACAAGTTAGGGTTACAAAGAGGGTTGGTGTTAGGGTTGCAGGTAGGGGTAGTGTAATAGGAGACTTACAAGTTAGGGTTACCAAGAGAGGGTTGGTGTTAGGGTTGCAGGTAGGGGTAGTGTAATAGGAGACTTACAAGTTAGGGTTACCAAGAGAGGGTTGGTGTTGGAGCTAATTTTTTTTTTTAAAGTCCGCAAACGTGCAACTATAAAGAAAAAAACCCGTAAGTGTTCACAAAAAAAGTGCAAGTGCAAAAACACCACACGAAAAAGTGCACTTAGGGGTCTGCTTTGTCCTTTCCCCGAAGGGGATGGACCACTACCCTGATCCCCCGGGGCACGAAGCTCCTGACAGGGACAAGGTTCCCATTTGGTCCTCCTGGCCAAAAGGCCTGGTGGACCACCGTTCCTTGTGTCCAGCCGAAGCCAGACACCCAGTACTTGGTCAGGGGGCTCTCCTGAAGAGAAAACCCCCTAGGGACAGGGGAGGAAGGAACCAAAAGGCCACACATCCTCCCCCTAGACTTCAGGGCAGGCCCGAGGACCCACACCCTCCATCCTGTGAAGAAAACACACACATAAGTAAAGAAAAAGTGACAAAACGTGGGAGGTGTAATAAATTAAATAAATAGAAAATAAAAACGTGGTCGTGCCAAATAGTGCGCAGACCAGGCCCTGAGGCCTGTAGCAAAAATTGCCCTGGTCCTAGCCAAAAGGCCTGGTCCTAAGGGTGCTGTGCAGGAAAAGTTTGAAAACAAGTGACCATGTGCCATTTTCACACAGTGGGGTCCCACACCCAGGTGCTACTAGTGGCACCCCTGAGGCGACTACTCAGGGGGCACTGGTTTGCGGACTCTCTGCCTTCCCGACCCCTGGCCAGACAAGGTAGATCCGTCCAAATCAGGAGGTACTGGTTCCTTCTGACGTTCCAAAGGGGAATTACTACCAGGCCCCAGCTATGTGTGGGCATTCCGGGTTCTGTTCCCCCCGTAATAGCCATCCGGACCCCCATCATACCAGCAGGGGTACTATACAAACAGTCATCCCCGCAAAGCTAGAATGACCGTGGAGCACCCCTACTGGACACTGATAAGAACAGATACTACACTTGATCTTAGCCAAAAGGCCGAGAAGGTTAGAGCTAATGTTAGGGTTACAGGGCAGGGTATTGTTACAAAGTGGATTAAAGTTAGGGTCCCAAGGAGGCTAAATTGTAAGAAGAGGGTTTTTATTAGAGTTATAGAGAGGGTTAGTGCGAGGCTGTGTTAGGTAGGACATCACTTTCAGTGTTCTGAGCTCCATGTCAAACAACAGAGTTCTTGGTGCAGAAAGTCAATGTATCTGATTCGGAATGTTAAGGTTTTGAGTGTTACATGTATCCTTTGACTGTTTTTTTGTTTCTTTTATAGGTGTATGAGAAAGTAGCGTATCTTTTAACAAACTTAGGTGAGTTAACAATTGAAACTGACTATTTGCACGTGCACACAGCTATACTAATTGTGTAATACATTAACAGAAACCTGTTAAGGAACTAGGCTGTGGACCAGTTTAGGGGATTTTTTTTTTCTGGACAGAATGGGAAAGTGTTAGGTCATTTTTGGGTTTCTCACAAAGACGTCAGATTCTGTTGTTCACGTTTAGTAGTCTGGTCTGTCTGGTAGACTCTCAGTGTGGATAAAGGATCATTAAGACACAATCAAGTATAACTTGCATGGCAGGAAATACTTAAGTACAAGCGGCATACAGAAACATGGTTTTTAAGACATAGCTCATATTGATGAGCTTATTTTACATTCATGTTATAGCGGAGCTACACCCAAAAGTGGAAGTTCCGCTTTAAAGATTAGTCCCCCGCTCCCCATTAAGGATTGGCACCTTTGGGGAACGGAAAGGGGGGGGGAATTTGACAGGTACCCGCTCTCACTTCCACTGTGATCACCTAGGCGATCGGAGGCGGAAGTTGTCCTCCTGTCCTCCCTCCCCAAAGTCTTGTGGGACACGTGACAAGAAACGAGCAACTGCATAATCTATGGGCTGCTTAAGACATGGCCTGTCTGAATTCTCATTTTTAATACAAGGGCTGTCTCCTGGCTTTGCCCTTTTTAACTGTTAAAGTGTTACTAAACCCCCAACAGTAAAATCAGTCTGTATATGCAGTAAAGCATGCTTGTTGCTCTCACTGTGGAACCTAAGGGGTTAATCCTCCATATTATGTAAAAACAATATTGGTCCTGTCTTCTCTGATCCTCCCCTTCTTCTACTGTCCCCAATCCATCTGCTGATAGAACAGAGCCTTGGGGGCAAGCTGAACATGCTCAGTTTGGTGTGTATTGCTACAGAGTTTTTTTTTTTTTCTTTGGGAGGATGCATGTGATTAACACAGGGCCAATCAGTACTGTCCAGACAGAGGGTCAGGGGTTATGCAGCCTCATAGGACAATCATGTAAGAATGAAAACTCCTCCAAGCTTTATCCAGTACTCTGCTGGACACTGATAGAAGTCACAAGACTGCTCTAACTGCTTTTGAGAAAAGGTATTTAGCAGTTTATACCAAAATAATTGCGTTTCCATGTTCTGTGTACTATAGGAGACCAGACATAGTGAATGCAGGGATTGTTTTTTTAAACTATGGATCTTCTGGTAAAATTCTGTGTGAAATACCCACAATGCTCATTGGCAGTCAGAGATCATGTGATCCGGGCTGCCTGGACTATAAAGTCACATAAGAAAAGAATTTTTTCTCAAAAAATATGATTTGGTAATGCATACTTGTGTCCTACTACTCCATGGAAGTAGGACTGTTTGTCCGTTGACGGATGAAAAACAGCAGCAATGTATTTCTGTGGACCAGTGGAATTAAATTGATGATCATCCATTTACCATCCATTTATTTCCGTGTCCGTTACAGTCCATTTTTTAAATGTACAAGGGTATGTCCAGATCCATTGAAACATAATAGAACACATGTAAACGGATACCATCCGTTTACATTTCCGCTTATGGCCTCTTTCAAATCGACGTTCCAATCAGGTACATCTGCCCCTTTCGCAGGCGGACCCGATCAGAACCTTCATTCTCCTCTATGGAGCAGCGAGTGTAAACGGACATGTCTGTTTACACCTTCCTACATCCAGCCTGATCCTACCCGCAAAAAAGGGATGGATGGGGATCCAATTCCCCTTCCGTCCGTTGGATGAAAATGGACTGGCGGTTCATTTCCATCGGACCCGCCCATTGAGGAGAGAGGACCAGACATAGACTTGTCATCCGCTTGCTCAGTGGGGATCAGCGGAGAGATCCAACGCTGAGCAAGCAGATCCACTAAATGGGTCCGCTCAGTGTGAAAGAACCCTATTGTATGTCCGTTTTTTAGGCAAGAAAATATTTTGTTTATACTTTTGTCACCTTTGAGTGGTCTCAGCAACAACTCCGTAAACATATAAGTAATGTGCAAAAACGGATGTAGACTGATGTAAACTGAACTGAAATAATTGGAAGTGAAGACTGAAGTAAACTGACATCGGGCTCTTTCACACGGACATTCCAATCTGGTCCACCTGCCTCTTTTTCAGGATTTGATCCTTTATTTTTCTCTGTGGAGTGGCAGGCGTAAACAGACGTGTCCATTTACACCTGCTGACATCCGATCGGATCTGCCAAAAAGAGACAATTGCAAGCCAGTTCCCCTTCCCTCCGTCGGATCGGGTCAGATGGAAACGGGAAGGCGGTCCATTTTCATCCGACTGCCCATTGAGGAGTGCGAGCAGCTCTGTGTCTGCTCTGCAGTAGCGGAGCAGACACAGAGCTGTCATCCACTTGCTCAGCGGGGATCAGCAGAGAGATCCCCCCCGCTGATCAAGCGGATACGCTAAACGGGTCTGCCCTGTGTGAAAGGACCCATAAACTGAACTAAAAACTGATGTATACTGATGTAAACTGAGTACATTTTTCCTTTTAAAAAATGTGCCTGACCGGATGATGCCCGTGTGAAAGGGGCTTTATTGGGATTTTTTTTTACTAAAGACATGTAGCAGAATACATTTTGGCCTAAATGTATGAAGAAATTTTATTTTATTGGATATGTTTTTTATAACAAAGTAGAAAATATCCATTTTAAAAAAAAAAATTTCTGGTCTTTTTTTCATTTATATAATAATAAAAAAAAAAATTAAACCAAACCAGTGTTGATTAAATACCACCAAAATAAAGCTTTATTGGTGTGAAAGAAAAATTATATACATTTCATTTCGGTACTGTGTTGCATGACCGACCAATTGTCAGTTAAAGTAGCACAGTGCTGAATAGGGAAAAAAAATCCTGGTCATGAAGTGGGTAAAACCATACAGAGGTCAAGTGGTTACTAGTATGGCTTACATACTGCTGTTTGTCCTTTGAATCCCCATTTTCTCATTTTACAACAACAAATTACGAGCAAATAAATCTTAGAAAATTTGCTATTATGACTACCTGGTATGTAGAGTTTGAATTGTATGTTGTATTTAGAGATTTGTAAAGTTGATTGTCTGCGGCTGTAACAATGGAATGTGCAGTAATGTTGTGGTTTATCTCTAGAGCACCCGAGAACTGACTCTGAGTGGGAAAACAGCTTTGCTCTGAAAATGTTCCTGTTCCAGTTTGTCAATTTAAACAGTTCAATATTTTATATCGCCTTCTTCCTTGGCAGGTGAGAGTAACAATAAACACCAAACGCATCATGCTGTGTTTGTAAAATATTCTCGGATTCAGTTTTATCCTGTTCTCGTCATATTTGGAAATTACAATCAACACCAAAAGACCTGACTAGGTTGTTGTGCGTATTTTGTATTTTTAAATATCACACTTGTAATATTATCCCTATCAGATAAATTCAGCAACATTTTCCCGCTGATGTTCTATAGTTAGGATTACTCTAGGAAGTTGATTGAATTGCCATATACTGTATTTTGACATAAAATGGTGTCGTGAAATGAGAAATGAATATTAAAGTGAAACGTGTAAAACAGGAAAAAAAACTCTGTAAAGTTAATTTTTTTTTTTCCCATTTATTTTCCTTTTTTTCCTGTTTTTACACGTTTCACTTTAATATTCATTTCTCACCATTGGATTCAGGGAGGATCATATCACTTTATTTTGTGTTAAGCACATGTGTATATATACAGTATTTATTATTTTATATATTTTATTTATTAGCTCTACACTATTTTATGTCATTTTGCATTTTCACCTATCGGTATTGGGTGTGAGCAACTTAGGTTTAGGGATCATCCATTGAAGCGCAGGAGGATTTATCATCATATACTGTATTTGCAACCCGCCAGTCTTAAAGTGAACCTGTGCTTTGCCCATACTGTACATAATACCAGCCCAGTAGCGTATTTTGGTTTTGTGCTGCCCTAGACAACGCAAAAATGCCCCCCCCGGGGAGAGATTCTGACAGTGACCAACCAAAAAAAGTTTGAATTTAAAAAATAGATTTAGCCACTTGCCATTACATTGCTAGTACATTTACTACTAGTGGGTGGCACAGCCAGGCACTGCAATGTACTGGTACGTCACAATCCACTTCCGGGTTTCAGGCGCGCGTGCGTGCGCACACCCCTTGCTGATCTGTGCTGTGATTGGATACTGCACGAGTTTGTCAGCAGGTTACAGCCTATAACTTTGGCTGTGTACCTGCTGATCGACTGTGGCCAATCATAGCACAGAGCTCTGTGTTTACAAACACACAGAAAACTGAACACAGAACAGCAATCTGGCTGTTTCTTCTCCCTGAAACTCTGAGTTCAGGGAGAAAAGACAGCCAAGACCCTGTGAGTAAAAGCAGCACACATACACTTGTTAGGCAGACAGTTAACCCACTTGATTGCCTTTCCAATAGCCCCTGTCTTCCATTAGTGTCATTAGTACAGTGCACAGTATTATCACTGAACACTGTATTAGTGTCACTAGCAATGTCAGTTTCAGTCAGTTAGTGACTAGGTTGTTGTGTGTCTTTTGTATTTTTAACTATCAAACCTGTAGTGTATTTAGGCTTTGTGCTGCCCTAGGCAACACGAGAATCATCCGCACCCCTCCGCGGAGAGAGCCTGACACTGACCAACACAAAAAAAAGTATGAATTTAAAAATTAGGTTTAACCACTTGCCATCAAGGGCGGACTGACCATTCGAAAACTCGGGCACTGCCCGAGGGCCCAGGGTCAGTAGGGGGCCGCATGAAGTTCCCCTGGTACCTTTTTTATAGGCTTGTTTGGGTGTGCTTTGAGTTTGGGCAAGGATACAGGGGCCCCATGATCCCCTATTGCCCGGGGGCCCCATGAGTTGTCAGTCCGCCCCTGCTTACCATTACATTGCCGACCAACAAAAAAAAGAAGTTAACCACGTTAAGTTGTGCACACAGGAGGTTCATGGTGGAACCTGGCACATTTTTGATGCGTTTTGTGGAGTTTTTTTTTTTTATTTTTCTTGTTGCTAGGCAGATTTAAAACTCATAAAAAATGTTGCAAAAACACAACAAAAATGCACTACATGATTTTCTGCAGCATTTCCATTGAAGTCTATAAAAAAGTTAAAAAAAGTCCCTGACCCTTTCCAAAAAATGCACTGGGTGAAAACGCATTGCTACAAACCGCAAAACGCTGTGAAAAACGCTTAGGTGTGAACCTAGGGTAAGTTTGGGTGCAGCTTTGCTGTTGAATTTCACAAGAACATGACCCCGTCTGCTCCTGGACATTGGTGACCATGTACACTGAAGGAAAGGAGAGAGTAAAGGCCCAGTGTGTACTGGGCGAGTTGACCCCACCCACATACTCAGCTTTCTTTTACTCCTGTGGAGTCCTACTCTGTCAGCAAGGGCAAGGAAAGGAAGCCCTGTATAAGCTCCAACTCCAAGTCATCGCCTCCATTTGACAACAAGTGACCATTTGCCAATTTCTACCATTATCACACAGAAGGAAAGTGACTCACATGCTCCATGATCAATAGGTATGCTAGATCTTTTTTTTTTAACTCATGGGGGCCTAAAAAAGCAGAAGAGGAGCAAATGTAATATACGTATATGCAGCTGGTAGGGCGCCTAGAGGAATCTAAGGGGTTGATTTACTAAAGAGAAATAGGCTGTTTTACTTTTCAAAGAATTTTTCACTCGTGGTTCAGTCGAAAGTTAAAGTTTAGCGGGTGAAGAATGTTATGTGTAATAGTGGTATTACTTCCACTATTACACATGCCAGCTTCCTGCTGTCAATGATTGTTAAGGATAGCTGCCGGGAGCAGGAGGCGCTGAGTTCATAACAACCAGTGATGTCACCGGCCCTGTTCATTTATATGGCTGGGAATCCACAGCTATGTAAACAAAGAGGCAGGGATGGTTTAATCTTTAAAAAAAAAAGGCCATTTGAATCAGGGATTAATTTTAATGGGGTACCCAAAGCAAAAAAAAAAAAAGCACGAGGTCCCCCAGATAGTCCCTTTGGATCTGATGTGGATTTTAAAAGGGATCTCAGGCAACAAAAGAAATATGCGAGGGCCCACTAAAAATCGATACCCATCCAGACCTTTAATCTGAGAATGTAGTCTGGTTGGCCTGGAAAGAAGGAAGACAAGCATGCCCCCCCCCCAAAACCATTCCAAGCCCTCAGCATAGGGGAGGATACCTTGCCAGGTCAACCACCTTCTCCCCATGTTGATGAGATCATGGACCTCTTTCCAATAACCCTGGCTGATGGTTGTGGTTGTCTACGGGCATGGGGCTTATCAGAATCTGGAAGTTCCCTTTAAAAATACAGGGGCACCCAAATATCACCCATCCATGTGAGTATGGGTACATGGTGCCCCTGCTCAGTCACAAAAAAAATTGGGACCTAGAAATAAAGTCCTTTATTTAGAAAATTAAGATCCCCCAAAAGTTCCTCTTTTTAAATCCATTGTCAATTACCTCATTCAGCGATAAAGATGCATTTGCAACCATTGGGTTGATTTATTAAAGGCAAACAAGCTGTTCAAATTGCAAGGGAAGTTGCACTTTGCAAGGAAATTTGCCCAGGAGCTTATTGAATAAGGTGAATCTCTGCTGACTCTCATCAGCCAATCATATGCAAGTACAAATGTTTTTTTTTTCTTTTCCTTGCACCTGATTGGCTATTCTTTGCAAAATGAAATTTCAACACATTCACTTATCTCTGTGGAAAATTTCCTTGCAAAGTGTATTTTCCCTTGCAAAGTAAACAGCTTGTTTGCCTTTAGTAAATCAAGCCCTGTACATTGCTTTACTCCAAAACTTTTCATGCATGACTTTATTTCTCAGAAAGGCTGTTATAAAGTGTAAATCATATATAATACAAGAGTTGTAGCAAAAATTCTATGCACATAGATGCAGCAAAGAGAGCCAGAAGTTCTTGCTGCACAGCCAGCAGTCCCCAGCAGGGCTGCTGTTAGAACCCCCCCCCCCCAAAAAAAAAGCAGTTTACTATGCTTCAGTTATGAATGAACACAGTGAATTATCAGTATTGATCATTCATTGTGTTCATTGAGGAAAGAAAGGGGCTGGTAAATGTGACATATTTACTGGACTCTTTCCCCATTCTGCATCTTGAAGGATCCTATTGTGTGCTTGCAGCTGCCTGTGGGAAGGGAGAGGAGGAAAGCCTGCAGCACTGCGGGGGTGGGAGCACACAGGGGCACCTGGGCAGCAGGGGGAAACAAAAGGTGCACAGGGAGAGCGATGGATGAGGCGGGGAGGGCAATTACTGGAACCGATCCCCTGCATGGCTCTCTGCAGCGGCTGAGAGCCAGCAGGAGGGAGAGAAGAAAAAGCCAGCTTTCAGCTGCTGTATGGAGAGCTATACAGGGGATTGGTTCCAGTAATTGCCCCCCTGCCGCGCTGATCACCCTCCCTGCCCACATCAAATTCACCCAGCTGCCTGGGCCCCCCTGTTGGTCTGGACCTCGTACAGGAGGACTGGTGGTACCCCCTTATCCACGGCCCTGGTGCCCAGTGTTTGGTGAACAAAGCATTCACTGAGCCAAATTCCTCCATACAGATGAGTGCTGAGAGGATGTCTGCTTGGCATTGTGCTTTGTAGTGTTGCAGTGAACACACCTCACAGTGTCTGGTGTGTATGTCACGTTGCAGTCCTATTCATCTGCATTGCTTCCCTTGTATACAAGTACCTTCAAAACTGTATGGAATCATTTGCATTCATTGTTATACCTACATATACTGTATGTGGCTGATTTACAGCTTTAAGTAATATAAAAAAAATCAGCTGCGCTCACTTTAAAGTGTACTTAAACACAAAATAAAAAGAATAATATATTTGCTCTAACAGGGGTTGGGCAAAAAAAATGGAAACACTACAAGATTTGCAGGTATGAAAGTTACAGCATGTTTTGTGTTAAAAATGGAAGTAATGGAACATTCTTTGGCTTCTGCTGTGTGATGAGACACCTAGCTAACAGGTGGGAAGCTTCACTTTCATTATTCACTACGGGCGCTGCTAGTAATACGGAGTCATGTCAGAGCTTACTGAGCTTCAAAGAGGGCAAATTGTTGGTGCCGCTTAGCTGATGCCTCTGTGACTGAAGTTGCCAAATGATTTGCTGTGTTATGAGGTGCAGTTTCCCTTGAAGACTGAGATTGAGCTCTGCAGTCACTTTTGCAGCAGTTGTTTTCTTATTCCAATATCTTA